TGAAAGAAGAGAATTCACATAGTGCACAAACCATATTTTAGATCATTTTGAATGTGTGTCAGTTAGAATGACTATTTTGATAAGACTGTTCAGAATATCATGGTTGCACTTACAACATCCATTTCTTCAGTTTCTGGTTGGTTGTATAAAAGCTCATGACCTTGCAGTGGTGTGTCTCTTTCTGGCAGCTAGGTGAATCAGGAAGAAATACAAAATTATAGTTTGTTTATTGTGATGACTGCCCCTGAGTTCTTGCCATGTAGCATTGTATGAGGTAAGGCAGGATAGGACCCAAAATGCAGAACTCAAAGACAATGACTAAACTCAAAGACAGCTTTATTGCTTATCACAAAACACAACAACTAAACTGGTGAAACACTAAGAATTGAACAAGAAAACGCTAACCAGACAAACACACAGCCAGAGGGGAGATCAAAACAGGGAACACAAGTAAACGCAGCCATTGCAAACACAGGGAAGACAGGGCAGAGAGGAAACACCTGGGAAATATGGCTGGACAAAAATCTAACTGACGAGTCTGGGAAGCAAAAGGGAAAAAGATGCACACAAAACAAGAGACTGTCAGAATGAACTAGGAAACGTGAGAAACACATACTGAGAAGCAGACTGACAAAGTACAGGGAACAGAGGGAGAGTGAGAAACACATAGAGACGACTGGGAAACAAATATGAAGACAGAGACACTACAAACAAGACACAGAAGGAGGATAAGACAACAAAGGACAGAGAGAGAGTTTGCAAAAGAACTTGCAGACATGACTGGGGAACAGAAAAATTAACATGGAGACAAGACAGTCTTCACAGAGAGATCAAATACTAACACAGGAAATAGACACAAGAGGATAGGCAAACACAGGGTACATATGTTAAAAAAAACAAATAAAAACTCACCTGGGATATATTCTGTAATCTGGGATCAATGTCTTTTAGCAGAAAGGATTTGACCACGTTATTCTGTAATTGCTTTAAATTAGCCAACATTTCTTCCAAATCTTCTATTTTTTCGACAATTGGATTCTTGAATTCTATGCTTCTGTTTTCGCTCTTCCATTTCTGGGCAGATTTGAATTCCAGGTCTTCAAGCATTGATGGAATGTCAGGAGAAGAGTAGAAACCTCTTGGGAATGTTTCTGTGGACTAAGTTTATTAGAAGTAGAGGAGGAACAAATTAGCAGTACAAGCAAAATAGTCAGGAGGAAAGAGAACAATTTTTTGCTATCGTAGTTAAACATAAGATCCCACAAATACTTAAAATAATAAAGACTAACATTAAAAATAAACATTAAAAAAATTATATAAATATAAAAAAATTCCTGGCGGCCAATCCTTCAAGCTCTGGTCCTCTACCAGAGGCCTGGGAGCTTGAGGGTCCTGTGCAGTATCTTAGCTGTTCCCAGGACTGCACTCTTCTGGACAGAGATCTCCGATGTTGTTCCCGGGATCTGCTGGAACCACTCTCCTAGCTTTGGAGTCACTGCACCTAGTGCTCCGATTACCAC